TGTTCCTGGTACTCTAGAATAGGAAATATAAATAGAAAATGTTTAAACATCCTCACTAAAGTTCCATAGGAACATACTTTTGTTTTCAAATGAATACGAGCGTTCTGGCTTAGCGCAAAGCACAATATGTATTATGCAAATACACACGCCATTTTGGAAGCATGAGGGGAAGCATGGTTATGTTAAGGAAGTACACTGGGAGTTGACATAGGCATACATAGTTCTTTTACTAATGCAGCCATGACTTGCTACATTACATGGCAATAAGCAAGTTGCTTGACCAATCTATTCTTTAGCTTAACCATCCATAAAAAGAAGAGTAATAAGCCTTTCATCTTGAAGGTAGAGATGTTGCAAGGCTGAACTGACAAACTTTTGGCAAAGGATGCTGTATATCTTGGCATGAAAAAAGGCACTAATGTTGGGGAAACATTACATGCTATTAATTATTTGTGTTTATTATTTAATACATGTTAAACATCTACCACATGCTTAAAGATCTTTACCTACTTAGCCTGCTTCGTACTGTGATAGTTATCACCTAGAGTGGCTCGTGCCCACAATGTTGCCAGGAAGCACAGTGAACTAGAACTAGAAACCAGATTAAAGTTGCTTCAAATTAGGGATGGCATGTTTTCAGATCATTGAGGCCCTGTCATGAGAATACAAACGTCCTGTGTAAGCAAAACATGAAGGATTAACAAAATGGGAGAACTTGGCTGCATCTGCTATATCATAAAAGGCGGGTAAAGGCTTTTTAGCAATGTTTCTAAGCTTAGTTACTCAATGAACCATGTTTCACAGAGCGGAATTCTTTGAGCAAGATTCCTTTGAATTGTACCTACAACTGTAGTTCAAGGTGATTTTTCTTTTAATAGAAGCCAGTATATTTACAGCAACCAGAGAAATTCTGCAAAATAACACTTCTTTTTTTAATTCTCTATTCAGTTGGAGGCAGTGCTACAAGAAACTCAAGCCATTCTAGAGTGGGAAAGAATGCATCTAGGATTTGTCCAAGAGAAAGCTCCTTGGTTTTTATTCCCATTATTATAGCAAAACATTTTTATTACCTTTTTGTTTCCCTAGACCTGACCATCATTACAACTAGGTAAACGGCTTCATCTCAATCTGTACTCCATGCAATTTGTGGAGAGATGATAGTATATATAACCTAAAGTATTTGGAACTGAATACACAGGTATTAGAAGTGAGATGGCTTTCTTTATGATTTTCTCTCCAATCTAATTCCTATTAAGCTTGATGAAAATAGCCAATTGAGTCCAACAGGGCTGGATCAAGCCCTATAAGCTCCTGGTGAGATCCTGACTATAATAATACATGTTTGAGCTCCAAATAAGAAGCCAAATAAGTCCGAATGTCTCAGTGTATGTTTGTGTGTTCTATGAACTACTTTTGCCTTAAGGACAATAATATATTGCATTTTTATATAGTTAGTTACTTTCACAGGAGGATTCCAAAGGGGCTTCATGGACTAATGAATTAAACTCTACAAGCCCCCTAGAAAGCAGGAGGTATAACTATTCTCGTTTAGTGAATGTCTTTCTGTGACTCAGAACCTTCAGTGAGTATCCAAGGGATCAAAAGAGGTTGATACATGAGCCAAGCACAGGACCCAGCTCTTCTGGCTGGTAATCCTTTGCTTTAAATTTATTGGGCATGTCCAGACAAGCACACACATACGGTTTGCCAAGCCTCAAACCTAGTTGAGGTGCTGCAAACTGTACATGATGCATGTGCAACCATGCACTACATTTCAAATTTGCAGCATGGTGATAACATTTGATACTGGGAACTCATGATATCAAGAAAAACCACAGGAAAAAAAAAAGCAGCACGGCGCATACTCCAAGAGTGTGCACCAGAGCAGATGGAGGCAGAGTCCTCTAGGGAGATGCTCTAGCTGTTGTTCAGAGTGTCTCCCCTCCTTTAGGTCTGCTCTGGCTCCTTCAGCATGCTGGGAGCAAGAAGAAGCAGAAAATAGGCAGTTTGCCTGAAGCGGGCCATGCACATCAGTAAAACAGCAGCACAAATTTGTGCCACTGTAAGTGCATACCTCTGTATGTGGGGATGAATCCACAGTGGGTAGGTTTGTTCCTCTCACAATATTTGCTTCGCACTGAGAGTAGTAGTTTCTATTCAGGTAGCTCTGATTTTCCTAATAGGTAATGAAGTACTGTGAGAAGAGGAAATTAAAGCCAGTTGGAGCAGTGTTGGCACTTTTGAACATAAGGCTAGTTAGTTAAGTAGACAAATATGGATGCAGTTGTGTTTTTGACATTTTTTTTTAACTAATGTCGACCTAAATAGCTAATAGCTTAGCTAAATGATAAATAATGGGAAACAAAAGTCTGCATATTCTTGAAGAGAATATATAAAATTATGTATTTTAAGCTCCGTGGTAGGACCCAGAGGGTGGTGGTTGACGGAAGTCAATCGTCATGGTGCTCTGTGACCAGTGGGGTCCCTCAAGGCTCTATCCTTGGGACTACACTATTCAACACCTACATTAATGATGTGGACATTGGTATCAGAAGTGGACTGGCCAAGTTTGATGACACCAAACTCTGGGGTAAAACATCCACACCTGAGGACAGGAGAGAGATCCAGGCAGATATTGACAGTCTCATGAAATGGGTGGACAAGAACCTGATGGTGTTTAACACCAAAAAATGCAAGGTTCTCCACCTTAGGAAGTAAAACCTGCAGCATCCTTATAGGCTTGGCAGTGCTACACTGGTTAGCTCTACAGATGAAAGGGACTTGGGGGTCATGATTGACCACAAGACGAACATAAGCCTTCATTGTGATGCTGCAGGTAGTAAAGTGAGCAAAATGCCGGCTTGCATCCATAGATGCTTCTCAAGCAAATCCCAGGACATAATTCTCCTGTTGTACTCAGCCTTGGTGAGGCCGCAGCTGGAGTATTGCATCCAGTTTTGGGCTCCACAATCAAAAAGGATGTGGAGAAGCTTGAGAGAGTGCAGAGGAGAGCCACATGCATGATCAGAGGTCAGAAAAACAGACCTTATGATGACAGGCTGAGAGCCATGGGACACTTCAGCCTGGAAAAGCGCAGGCTCAGGGGCGATCTGATAGCCACCTATAAGTTTATCAGGGGTGTTCACCAGGATCTGGGGGAACGTCTGTTCACTAGAGTGCCCCAAGGGATGACAAGGTCAAACGGTCACAAACTCCTTCATGACCATTTCAGGCTGGACATAAGGAAGAACTTCTTTACTGTCTGAGCCCCCAAGGTTTGGAATAGACTGCTGCCGGAGATGGTTCAAGCACATACTTTGAATGCCTTCAAGAGACATTTGGATGTTTATCTTGCTGGGATCCTATGATCCCTGCTGACTTCCCACCACCGGGGCAGGGGGCTGAACTCTGATCTTCTGAGGTCTCTTCCAGCCCTAATGTCTATGAACTCAATGAAGTCTATAAAAATGAAATCAACATTTTAGTGTTGTATCTGCCAGCCTAGAAGTCATACGAGGAAGAAAAATGCCATTTAATCTTAATATCAAGAAAGGTGTGTGTTTGGGGTTTTTTTAATGGTGAAAGGAGTCTGACAAGGGAAATGACAAAAACCCTATTACATGAAACATGTAAAATGAGAGAATCTGCTCCACTTAAAACTGGTAGAAAAATTTCCGTTGTTCCACAGAACATGTCTCCTTAAAACAGTAACTAGATCACCTAATATTTTTTCCACCTTTATTCAGTATTGTAATGTGTCCCATTCTCATCATCATGGTATTTGAGCACCCCAAGATACACTACAAACTCCAGCTTTTTTAAATAGCACTTCTGGAGGTGCAAGGGTACTGAATATAGGGCTGTTCTGAAAACTGGTGGGATGGGAAATTTAAATGTGTTGTTGGTTGTATGGTGTTTGGGATTTGCTTCTGTTTTTTGTTTTGAACATGGTTATAAATTTAATTGACAGTGGGAAACCTAGAGCTTGTCATAGGTGTCTTATTAGGAGGAAGAATTTTTCTTTTAGTCAAAAGAAAAAAGAATAGAAGATCAGGAAAATTTCAGTCCTTTTGTTATTTAAGGGGGGAAATGCTAATTAATTAGACGGGACTTTATTTTTTTTTACATTTTGAATTTAGGTAGAACTCGGTATAAATTAGGTAACAGCATGAAGTTTGACTGCTGGAGTCATTATATAAAATGTTGAATTAGCTCCTCTTTTTTTTGTAAATCCCACAAGGGAAAAAATGTTCTTTCTCATCTCGCCTTCTGTATCTCTCAGAGAAATAGAAAGGATCGCATCTCTTTTATTGCTGAAATAGATTTTCCTTAATGCTCTTGGAATTTCTCCTTGGTGTCTCAAATCAGCAGAATTTGGGAGCCATAATGAGGAATAGCAGGGTGAGATTTAAAGAGAAATGCCTCAGAAATAAAAATATGTGTAAGGCTGTCAAAAGCATTCTGCTCTCTGAATAGAAGGGCAGCTCTGTCAGAGAGTATGTAACTTCCCCACAATAAAGAGGAACCCTGAAAAGTTCTGAGTAGCAACATCAACCCTTTTCAGAAAACGAGGCACACCAGGATAAAAATACACATGCAGATAGATGAGACTTAAAGAATGAAAGAGATGGCTAAAGTGTGAGTGAGAAAGCCATGCGAGACAAACTGAGACACAGGAAATAAGTCACTTCATTCATTTAAATGCTCCCGCTTTTTAAAAAAGATATTCTACAACAGAAGTACGTAAGCCAGGTTGAGATCTTCATCCATTTTCAGATGGGATGTCCATGCTGTGCATGCTATTACATTCATAATAGGCTCTGTGCAGTCAGTTTCATACCTAAATTTAACTGAATGAGTCGTCCTACTCTATTAAGGGTTGATATAAGGTAGTGGAGGAGGTTGTAGAAAAGAATTCCAATTAAACTGAAGTGATTTTTTGAGGTGAGTCCTTATTCTGGAAGCATGATAAAGATAAAAGCTTTTGGCAATATACTTACTTGCTTCAGCACAAAACTGCCAAAAATGCTGTCTTTTCTGGCTCTTGGATGAATACTTCAGGATGAGGAGATGGGGTGAAATCCTGTAATGAATGGTGAACCGTAGGGCTCTGTGAAGCTTCAGTAGCCAATTTGATTTGGAGGAGATTCAGCCTGATTCAGCAGCTGAATCTCTGTACCCGAATTGAATTGGGAAACCCATTAAAAGGCCCAAATTGATTCGGAAGCCTCTGAATCAATTCAGAAAAGATTTGGAAAAATGTAGAGATTCAGAAGGCAGGCCTGTAGGAAACAGGAAGAGGGAAGGGGAGGGGGGAGAAGACTGCTCTGATATTGACATCTGTAACTGGCCAGTGACTGTGATCTTTCCCTGAGTTCCCTTCCAATCACAGTGCTCTGGGGGAGGGATGTAGAAACAACATATAAGGCTGTGTGTGAACTGATCTGTGCCTTTTTTGAACTGTCTTTCTAGGACCAGCAGTGTCTGAAAGGCTATGGCTTGCTATCTAGACTCTTGCTAGCTAGCTAGTCTCTCTCTCTTTATTTTCCCTGACAGTATGTCATCACTGTGCAGGAAAGCACAACATATATATCAGACACATACACAGTTTGCAGGACATCACACCAAACATTATGAAGTGTGCTGGAAGGGCAAGTACCAGATCTTCTGGCAGGGGAGGGAGAGGGGGAAGAGGGAGAGCTGCAAGTTCTTCCCCCCCCCCGCCCCCAAACATAGGCACATCCTCTTTTCTGGCAGTGATGAGTCTTCTGCTGCTAGTGGGAGCAGCCTATACCACCTCCACTAACATCAGTAATAACCACCAGCACCACATGACAGTCTCCACCCCAGTTTGAGTTCCCAGCATGAGTTTTCCAGTGCCAGAGGAGGAGCTGGATCTGAAAGCAGCAGAGCTGAGTGCCATAGCTAAGGACATTCTGGGGAAGGAGGGGGAATCTGAGTTTGTGCTCCACACCCCTCAAAGTTCCCCTAGAGGCAGGTCTCCTCTGGAAGGCACTTTGGAGGAATTTGTGGGGGCAGGTGGCTCAGCTCCTCCTGTTGTTGTGCCTCTGCCTGGTGAGGAGGGGGATAAGGCAGGATGCCCACCCTCAACCCAGAAGTGGGTGGGTAGTGTAGTGTGGGATCATTTTGAGGTGGCAGATGATCCCAGGTATGCTCCCTGCCAGCACTGCCAAAAGAAGGCCAGTCGGGGCAAGGACGAGAAACACTTCACCACCACAGAAATGTTGCTGCATCTCAGGAGGCAGCACCCGCTTGCCCTTGTTCCTCCTGAGCCTGACACTAGTGAGTGTGTGCCCAAAAAGAAGCCCCCCTTTCACTCAAAAGACTATGTCCCCCTGAAGCAGAGGCAGGCCACCCTGGAACAGTGGGGGAAAGGTGGAGAAAAAGGTTCCCAAGGTGAGTGAGGTCACCCAGAGCATTGGAGTGATGCTTGCTTTGGATGCCCAGCCCTTCTCCTTTTGTTGAGCATCCAGAGTTCAGGTTGCTTATGGTGCTCATGGCCCCATCCTACCTGCACGCACCACCTTTAGCAGGACGGTGGTGCCCTCCCTGTATGAGGCATGCAGAGAGTACTTAAGGGAGGAGCTGTGCAAGGCGGGGCCACAGGTAGCTTTGCACTTCACCTTGGGCATCTAGAGCAGCCAGGGTGGAGATCATGCCTACCTCTCCCTTAGAGGGCACTAACGCAATCAGTCAGGCCATCGGTAGGATCTACTTCAAGCCGAGGTGATGGATGAGTCCCACGCAGCAACTGAGATCATGGGGGCCATGAACCGAATGGTGCAGGGGTGGCTCGTTGGGCAGGGTAAGCTCACCCATGGGTTCATGGTCACCGGCAATGGGTCCAATATGGTGAAGGCTGTCCATGATGCCAACTTTGGCATCTGCTGTGTGGCACACAAGTTCCACCTCATAGTCAGGGATTCTTGAAGGGGGACAGGGCTCCTGGTAATGGTGTCATCACTAGGGCTACCAGCCAGCTCATTTCAGAACGCAGGAAGGTGGCGAGCTACTTCTACCGGAGCATCAAGAGGGGCAAGATGCTGTGGGACAAACAGGCAGAGCTGAGCATTCCGAAGCACAAAATCATGCAAAATGTGGAGACTCGGTGGAACTCCACATACCTGAGGGTTGAAAGGCTCATAGAGCAACAGAAAGCCATCCATGAGATGGCCTTGCTTGGAGAGATTGGGATCAATGGCCCCCTTAACAAAACAGAGTGGGATGCCATCTCCCAGATCTTGGTGGTCCTTAAGCCATTCCTCGAGGCCACTGAGAGCCTCAGTGCTGGCAATGCCTTCCTTAGCCAGATGATCCTCATAGTGAAGGAGCTTGAGAATCAAAATGAGAAGTTCCAGGGGATTGATGTTCCTGGATGGGGCACCAGAGGTGCAGGCAATGGAGAAGGAGCTGAAGGAGGCAATAAAAAATGCAGCTGAAGGAGGGCATCCATTGTGGTCCAGTATGGTCCACATGCTGGCGGGCATGTGTGACCTGAGGGTGAAGGGGAGCATCTGCAGCAGCAAATCCTCAATCACTGGGCAGATGTGCTGGTGAGCAGAGTCAGGGAGGCAGTGGTGGGGGGATATGGAAGAGCCGGCTTCACTTTCCCATGCCAGCACTCCAAGCACAAGCCACCACAAGCCACCGCCACAGCTACTGCCAATGTGGGCCAAGGGCATGGCTTCACTGTTGGGTTCCAGAGGCAGCAGCCCCCACCATCTGGCAGGTACCACAGAGGCCTTGGTGGCTACCTATCTCACCAAGGATGTGGAGCCACTGCACTGTGACCCCTTGACCTATTGGGTAACCTGCATCCAGGTGTGGCAGGATCTGGCCATGGTTGCCTGGGAACACCTGCCCTGTCCACCGACCAGTGTTCCAAGTGAGAGGGTGTTCAACATCGCTAGTGATATTGTGACACCTCACTGCACCTCCTTGGATCCTGGTTTGGTGGAGCAGCTGGTGTTCCTGAAGGTGAACCTCCCACTGGTGGGGTTCCCCAAGCTTCACATGCAGATGGAGGTAGTGACACCCTCCTCACTCTGCACCTATTTGCTTTTCTAATTTACTTTCAGAATCATTTAATGTCCCACTCTCAGATCTGGAGGCAGCAGTTTAGTTTATCACCAGCCAGCAGGAGAAGAACATGACCCTGCTGAGCTCCTGTTCAGGAAACACTTGGAGGTATGGACTGGGGCTTTGGGGAAGGAGGAGGCCCCAGGTCCTGGAAATGACCTAAAACGGCACCCTGCCAGGGTAGGGAGGTCCGGAGGGACTGCTGGTGGTACAGCAGCCCCAGGAAATGCCAGGACCGCAAACCTCCCTGGTGAAAGGCAGGTAGGGGGCATCTGATAACCTCCAGCCACCACACACATGCACAGTCCTGGCTGGGGAAAGCCCAGACCTGTAAGCCTCAGGCCTCTCAAAGATCTTACTGGTTGCAGCAGAGTTGTGAGGGTGAGTACAGGTAGACAGCTCAGATCCAGGAATGGTGATGGTTCTCTTTTGGAGTGTAGTAATTGTGGACATATGGGAGCTTTGTTGGTAGGTTTTACATTTCTTGTCATGGCATGGTCTGGATCCAGTCAGTGTGTTTTTGGCTGTAGGAAGCTAGCTTCTGGTGATGGGGTTAGCGAGGTTTGGTGCTTGTTTGAATTTACAAAATGCTTTTCACAGGGAAGCCTATGAACTTCATTTCATCAGCCTCCCGGATACAAAAACTCATGGACTCAATACAGACCTTGAATTTATGACACACTATAATCTGTCTGACATCTGACTCCCCAGCTAACTCTTCACTTTTACCTCCTACATCCCCCCTAACACCACCCCCCCAACCCTGTCCAACCTGTCTCTCACCACCTGACACCTCAATTTACATTTTCACTGACTGGCTTTCTTGCATACAGACCAGCCTCTGGCTTCTTTACTATTCATTCAATCCAGGAAGAGCACACACCAACTGCAGATGCTTCCTCGGCCTGACGGAGGGTTTTCAAACCCGAAAGCTTGTGAAGATATATTTCTCCAACGATTTAGTTGGTCTAATAAAATATATCAGATTGACCCAGAGAAGCTTGTCTGCCTGTGTCCTTAGACCAACATGGCTACATCCTACACCCCTTAACACACACAAGTGATATGAGTTTTGCTTTCAACACTTTGAGGGGCACTTTCACAGAAAACTCTGCACCTATCTCCTTAAAACTTGGCAGGCATTGTGCCCTTAGAAGCAGATACAATCTCTGCTGTTTCCATCTGAATCTGCAATAAAAAATGACAGTTATAGGTATTTTAGTAATTTCTCATTATAGTCTATGGCTGAATCTCTGAATCAATGCCGAATCTCTGAACCCAATTTGGCTGAATCAAATAAAAACAATGATTCGAATCACCGAATCACATCACTGTCCCTCTGAATAGGCCAAATCCAAATTGAATACTTGCCGCTTCACACAGGCCTAGTGAACAGGTATGCTCTTGGCTCCTACACTGCTACCACCTGATGAGTCAGCTAATGCCTCAGCTGTGTGGAACCATTGATGGCCAGTTTGGTTTAGATTACCCCTTAGACTGGAACAAAGTTGTAGAACTACCAAGACACAGAGAGCCCTAAGCCTTAGGATACACAGCTGTGGCTTCTAACAAAGCACCATTACTATGGCCAACTTTAATGTCAAGAACACATCAAAGCACCCAAGGGAAAACTGAAGAAGTGTTCAGTAAAAAAATTAAATTGGAACATAAAAAGATGAAGGTGGGGGAAAAAAACATAATGTGTTTTAAAGAGGTAGCATTTCCTTACTGTGATATCTGAATTGCAAGTATTCTTGTACTTTTACTCAGCTGTGTGTAGACCCTTGATTGATGCTGGCTGATCATCTATCACACTGTTCATCATCATCCCAATAATGTTGTCTCCAGCCTGGACAGAGTACAGTTCAATAAAGACTAGAAATCAGGGTACAATTTAGGCAAAGGAAGATAGGTAGTGACTATTAGTTAAGAGAATGATCATGAAAGATTCAGAATAATGGGTTGAAATAAAGGAAAAGGAAAGAATAGGTTTTGGGTAGTGAAGTTTCATTAGACTGTGCGCTAGTTTCAAAGAGGGGTTATGGAAGACATATTACTTGAGACATTTACAGGC